ACTAATTCTCAGGTGCTAACCCTGCTCTTGACCTGGAGAGTGAGTGCCACCTCATGTTTTGCACCCCAGGCTCTGCTTACCTCCCCCGGTCCCAGTCCTGGTTCTAGGAGAAAGTTGGCCAGTGCAAACTGGTGTTGCCTAACATCTCATTTTGGAACTCAACACATATTCCCCAGGACACATGGGAATGTAGTGATTTTAGTTTTCTTCCTTTGTTTACCTTTGATGAATGGATAAGCTACTTATCCTTGAGCAGTTACAAGAATCCACTTCCAAAGGAATCAATATGGCAGGCTAATACTTGTGCCTTCTTAAGACTCACCTCAACTAAATATTGGCAAGTTTTTTGAGGATTTCAAAGTACACAGATGGATTAAACTCTGCTTTCCTGACAACCCCATTGCTCATCCATTTTATTAAACTTTTTGCATTTACCTTGCTTGTGGTTTGCTTTCCCCACTAGTAGAGGGAGCACTTTGGGGAACCAACTCAGTTGTGCTTCCTCCTCCAGTCTTTGTATCTTTCTTGACCTTGGTTCTTGACAGGACTAGGTGTCAGGGGCATGAGCTCAAATGATGGCTTTGCCACTTACTAGTTGTGTTCCTGAAAAGGTCACTTTGTCTCCTTGGGCCTCATGTTTCATCTGTGAAATGGGGATATTAGTACCTCATGTGAAGGGTTGTTGTGACAATGAAATGGAAACAATATAAGGACCTAAAAAGCACACAGTAGTGCTCAACAGACGCTAGTTTTCTTCCCTCCTTTCTTTATTGGTCTACTTTCCTGGTGTCTGGTGTATGGCGAAATGTGCTAAACAGCAAATTCTAACTGTGAAGGTAATTCTGTTGGAAAAACAAATCCCAAAGTATAAATATGGTTTTGAGGGAAATTTTTCCTCTTTATTTATTTATTTTTTTAATTTTCAGGTATACTTTTCTCCCTTTTCATTTTGTTTATTTTAACTTGCAAGTACCCCTGGTTTTAAAAAAAGTCTGCTTGGTAAAATTGTCATTCTAGTGAGGTTGAGTAATGCAAGAAGTATATAATCTTTGGTGGTGGTAAGCATTTAGTTGTCTGTATCAGAATTTCTGGACAAGCAGAAGGGGACCTTCTTTAGCCCCTCACCAAGATCAAACTGTAGACCCAAGCTCTCCTCAAAATCCTCTTATAAAACCAAAGTTATGTCTAGTTATGTCCAAGTAGACATGCAGATAAAACCAAACAAAAATTTTACTTAGTTTAAATCAGTTTTTAAAACATGCAAACTATTTTAGATTGAAGTGCTTAATTTTGTTTTTTGTTGTTGTTGTTGTTGTTGTTGTTTTTTGAGACAGAATCTCGCTCTGTTACCCAGGCTGGAGTGCAGTGGCACAGTCATGAGCTCAAGCAATCCTCCTGCCTCAGCTTCCCTAGTAATTGGGACTTCAAATACACTTTTTAAAAGCTTTTTATAGAAGTTAATATGTACTAAACGAAACGTTCTTCGAGGAGAAAGACAGCAGGAGGCAGATGAAAATCACGCTATAATATAATACATCATGCTTAACATAGGATAAGTGTTACATGCTATTTTTTAAATTTATTTTACTCCTTTTGGGAATACTGCTAACAAAAGAGTGACCTCACTATAGAAACTACATGCATAAGGCAAGAAAAACAATCTATTGCCATGTATTTAATTTTTTACTTTCATATTTCTTTTTTTTTTTTTTTGAGGCAGGGTCTCACTTTGTTGCCCGGGCTAGAGTGCCATGGCATCAGCCTAGCTCACAGCAACCTCAAACTCCTGGGCTCAAGCGATCCTCCTGCCTCAGCCTCCCAAGTAGCTGGGACTACAGGCACGCGCCACCATGCCCGCTAATTTTTTTCATATATTTTTAGTTGTCCAGCTAATTCTGTTTTTAGTGGAGACAGGGTCTTGCTCTTGCTCAGTCTAGTCTTGAATTCCTGAGCTCAAACGATCCTCCCACCTTGGCCTCCCAGAGTGCTAGGATTACAGGTGTGAGCCACCATGCCCAGCCTACTTTCATGTTGCTAACAAGTATGGAGGACTTGGGGGTTTAGTTTTCTTTTCTTTTCTTTTTTTTTCTTTTTTCTTTTTTTTTTTTTTTGAGACAGAGTCTCACTCTGTTCCCAGGCTAGAGTGAGTGCCGTGGCGTCAGTCTAGCTCACAGCAACCTCAAACTCCTGGGCTCAAGCGATCCTCCTGTCTCAGCCTCCCGAGTAGCTGGGACTACAGGCATGCGCCACCATGCCCGGCTAATTTTTTATATAATATATATAATTAGTTGGCCAATTAATTTCTTTCTATTTATAGTAGAGACGGGGTCTCGCTCTTGATCAGGCTGGTTTCGAACTCCTGACCTTGAGCAATCCACCCGCTCAGCCTCCCAGAGAGCTAGGATTACAGGCGTCAGCCACCACGCCGGCTAGTTTTCTTTACTGAGCTTGTGCATAGACAGTCCATGGGTTCTCAGTCTTTCTAAGCCAGATCCTGGGGAACAGAATAGATTACAGGAATCCTTTGACTAAAAAGCCCAGTGATTTGGTTGCTACACAGTGGTTTCAAAGTTTAAGTTTGAGGGACACTGCAATGAAAATAGCTCAGAGGAGTTAAGAGATAGTTTTAGTTCTTGGTACAAGCTATTCCTTACAAATAATGACTCTGTATGACTGAGGAATGATTTAAAATGTACTCTTGTAAAGTTGAAAGGACCTTTGACCTCATTTTCTGATCACAATTCCTATTTCCTAATTGGGCAAAATGAGCTATACTTCTACTAAGGTACCACCATTTTAAATGACAGTCCCATAACTCAAACTAATTCTGGTGCTACAAGGAAAGAGTCTGAATTTTCATTAATTCGGAAAGATCTTAAAATACAGACTTCAGATACATTCTACTGTAAGTTAAAACTGCTCTGGATATGACCATCGTTTTGGCATTTTAGTATCATGGTTGTATTAATACCTGCAATTTTCTCTAATTAGGTGTCATTTTTCTTATTAGCTGGTGTAGTTGGAGAGTGGAAGGGAAGGTCACTGTATCTTTTAATCAACACTGTCCAGCGTTCTCACTTGCACAGTGAAATGCTCTCAAATATTCTTGCACTCTTTTTCAACTTTTATCTATGATAGTCCAAAGAAACATTTTAAAGGTCCTATAGCAGTATCTGCAAGAATGTCAGGCATTGAGTGAAGTTGCAATTACAACAATTAATATAAATGGTAGAATGAAGATTGTTATCTTTTCCTCCAGAAAGTAAGGATCATCTATAACCTTAAAGTAGGTTGAGTCTTGAGTCTCAAGGTTATAACATCAGGTTGTCATGACTGCTTCTTCTACCAATTTCTCTTTTTTTTCTTTTCTTTTTTTTCTTTTTAGTGATCAAACTCACCAGACTTCTACCAATTTCTCAATGAAAGTTTCCTACACATCTGCTTTCTATTTGTCTGTACCTCTGTCCAGCACTTGCATTTGGACGCTTAGCCTTTGGTATCACAATGACTACTGATTATGGCATACTGCAATTAAGGATAAGGATTAATGAAAATTCCCAAGTCTCATCAATCAGAAGCACTAAAGAGCAAAGGCATAAAGTTTGGGTGATGTCGAATTACGTGCCAGGCACTATTATTCTGTGTGTTTTTAAGTATATTAACTCATGTTATCATCCCAGCAATCCTTTTAAATGGCTACTATTGTTAGGAACAGAAACACAAGTGAGAGGTATAGAAATCAGAAAAGCAGAAAGGAGAAAGCAGTTATAGAAAAAACAATAAAGAGGAAATGGTTGCGGAAAAATAAAAAAGAGGGGCCAGTTATTTCTGTCTTCAAGAATGGGGTAATTTGGCCATGGAACACTGGCCATGAACGCTGAGTCAGAGAATGGAAAAAACACCATGAATAGGCTGTGGCACTTTCCCCACCATACACATATTACAAAGAATGACTGAAGCATAACATAGAAAGGAATTCAGTCCCCAAACAGTGATGTCTGGTTATGAATAATTGTAACTAACCTTTACCTAAGCTACTAGCATATAAAAGGGAAAACATACAAGTGGACAGTGTCTTCTCTACTCACTGAGACAGACCCGTTTCCCCTTAGGAAACGTCTTTCGCTTTGCGCCCTTAAACTTTCCTTACAATAAATTCTTCACGCATATTTGCTGAGTGTCTGGCATCTCTCTCTGCCCTGTGGGCCAAGGCTCGTCTCTCAAGGTTCTTCCTGCTCTGTGCCAAGAACAGAGAGAATTTTTTTTGGTTACTTACGAGATACTCGTAACCTTAATTAAGAATATACTTAAGAGATATAAGTCCGACAGGTAGTACAGTACTGCTGGGTATGCTTTTCTTACAAAGTCACAAGTCACAGCAGGATGGCCTGCAGTTACTATTACATTCTTTGAAACAGCTGGTACCTAAGGTACAAGAAATGGACTTCTTACAGCGCTGCTATACTGTAATACTTTCTCAGTCTGAAGCTGAGATGTAGTAAAAGGCTTTGGAGTGGCCCAGGCCTAAATGTGAATTCTCATGGTCCCTTTATTGGCTAGAATACTCTGAACAAATTAACTTTTCTGCACTTCAGTTTATCCAAGTGGAATTCGAAGTTGTTCTGAAGATGAACCCAGGCCTTTCTCTGTTCCTGGCACAGAGAAAGTGATTTCGGGGGTAGCAGCCAGTCCTTACGTTCCCTGTCCCCACCACCACCACTCCTAGTCCCCGATGCCACCCACAGGAAAATGCACTATTTCACTAAGGACTACAAAGCAAGTATCATTTTCTGTTCTGTGTGCCACAAGAGTTTTCTCCCCAGAAGTGCAATCGGGAAGCCAATAATGAGGATAAAGGAAGATTAATGGGGTGGGCGGGCCTGAACTAGAAGCCTCCACCCCTCCAGCCTGCCTGCCCCACCCCAAACAGGTATCAGCCCAAGTCATTCAGGACATATTGCAGAACTTTCCAAACTGAGGCAGTGCCCCGGTCCCTACAACAGCAGGTGGCATCCAGACCTCAGCTGAGGCTGTTCTTTGTCACAGGTGCGCGGGACCTCCAGACCAGACATCTGAAAGCCATTGGGAGCCAGAAGCAAAAAGAGCATGGAGCTGAACAGCATGGCAGCCCCCGGAGCCCAGGGCTGCAGCAACACTGGCTTCCAGGTGAGCTGAAGGGGAGGTCACTGTATCTTTAATCAACACTGTCCAGCGTTCTCACTTGCACAGTGAAATGCTCTCAAATATTCTTGCACTCTTTTTCAACTTTTATCTATGATAGTCCAGAAGAAACAATTTAAAAGGTTCCTATAGCAGTATCTGCAAGAATGTCAGGCATTTGAGTGAAGTTGCAATTACAACAATTAATATAAATGGTAGAATGAAGATTGTTATCTTTTCCTCCAGAAAGTAAGGATCATCATATAACCTTAAAGTAGTTGAGTCTTGAGTCTCTCAAGGTTATAACATCAGGTTGCCATGACTGCTTTCTTCTACCAATTTCTCTCTCTTTTTTTCTTTCTTTTTTTCTTTTAGTGATCAAACTCACCAGACTTCTACCAATTTCTCAATGAAAGTTCCTACACATCTGCTTTCTATTTGTCTGTACCTCTGTCCAGCACTTCCATTTGTGCGCTTAGCCTTTGGTATCACAATGACTACTGATTATGGCATACTGCAATTAAGGATAAGGATTAATGAAAATTCTCAAGTCTCATCAATCAGAAGCACTAAAGAGCGAAGGCATAAAGTTTGGGTGGTGTCGAGTTACGTGCCAGGCACTATTATTCTGTGTGTTTTTAAGTATATTAACTCATGTTATCATCCCAGCAATCCTTTTAAATGGCTACTATTGTTAGGGGCCAGTGATTTGGTTGCTACACAGTGGTTTCAAAGTTTAAGTTTGAGGGACACTGCAATGAAAATAGCTCAGAGGAGTTAAGAGATAGTTTTAGTTCTTGGTACAAGCTATTCCTTACAAATAATGACTCTGTATGACTGAGGAATGATTTAAAATGTACTCTTGTAAAGTTGAAAGGACCTTTGACCTCATTTTCTGATCACAATTCCTATTTCCTAATTGGACAAAATGAGCTATAGCTTCTACTAAGGTACCACCATTTTAAATGACAGTCCCATAACTCAAACTAATTCTGGTGCTACAAGGAAAGAGTCTGAATTTTCATTAATTCGGAAAGATCTTAAAATACAGACTTCAGATACATTCTACTGTAAGTTAAAACTGCTCTGGATATGACCATCGTTTTGGCATTTTAGTATCATGGTTGTATTAATACCTGCAATTTTCTCTAATTAGGTGTCATTTTTCTTATTAGCTGGTGTAGTTGGAGAGTGGATTTTTGTGCCAGGTCCTGTGTGTAACTCTATGTTATCGAGCCACTTCCAGAAGGCGACAAACCACAAAGATAGATTCTCACGCCTCTATTAGATCGGACAGGCGCAACTGCACAGGTCAGAAAGGGCACTGCCATCGCTCCGGTGCCCAGTACCCAGCACCCACCCTGCACGTACCACCCGTGCCCCCTACCATGCTGAGCCCAGCCAGCGGCAACCACCCACCCACCCTTAGGTCATTTTGCTTTTTTTTTTGAGACAGCCTCACTCTGTTGCCCAGGGTAGGTGAGGTGCGCGTGTGTCAGCTCTAGCTCCAGCTCGCACTGCACCTCAATCTCCTGGGCTCAAGCATCCTTCTGCCTTCAGCCTCCCAAGTATCTGAGACTACAGAGATGAGCCACATGCCTGGCTAATTTTCCAATATATTTTTAGTTGGGCCATTAATTTCTTTCTATTTTTAGTAGAGACGGGTCTCGCTCTTGCTCAGGCTGGTTTCGAACTCCTGACCTTGAGCGATCCTCCGCCTCAGCCTCCCAGAGTGCTAAGATTACAGGCGTGAGCCACCGCGCCCGGCCTTTTTTTGCTTTTCTTTACACCTAAATTTCTACTTATGAATCCCCAAGCAGCACTTCTTCCTGCTTTTGTGCTTTAAATAATAGAAACATACAAAATGCATTCCTTGCTTATTTTAAAATGTTTATATGGATTTCAACAGAATGAATTCTTCTGTATCTGGCTCCTTTTGCTGAGCTGTTTCTAAGATGCAGCCGTGGTGCTGCATGTCACCACAGCACATCCAATGGCACACAGCACCCTGTCCTATAAACTTCCACAAATGATACATTTCACTACTCTTAGCGGACATTTGTGTGTTTAAATTGGAGTCATTTGGAGCTTCTACAAGCAATGTAGCTGATACACAAAGTCCAGAAAGTTCTTCGGCTTTGGCACCTGTCCCCACCCCCAAGGCTACATCAGAAGGACAAGTGGTTGAGAAGAAGGAAAGGGAGGTTTATTATTTGCTGACAAATGAGAATGGCAGACTCCAGTCTTTTTTTTTTTTTTTTTTTTGGGAGCAGAGTCTCACTTTGTTGCCCAGGCTAGAGTGAGTGCGTGGCGTCAGCCTAGCTCACAGCAACCTCAAACTCCTGGGCTCAAGCAATCCTTCTGCTCAGCATCCCGGGTAGCTGGGACTACAGGCATGCCCACCATGCCGGCTAATTTTTCTATATATATTAGTTGGCAATATTTCATTTTCTATTATATTAGGTAGAGACGGGTCTCACTCTTGCTCAGGCTGGTCCGAACTCCTGAGCTCAAGCAATCACCCACCTTGGCCTCCCAGAGTGCTAGGATTACAGGCATGAGCCACCGTGCCTGGCCCAGACTCCCGTCTTAAGGTACCAGTGTCCTATCTATAAGCAGAAATACAGTGCTTTTAAAGGGGTGTTTTCAGTTTTAGGCTATTTTAACTATAGTCAATGGTCCTGATCAAGCCCTCCTCCAGGGGAGACAATGTCCATTACTCTTGTCTGGATAATTTTGCTGAGCCATCCATCTGTGGAACAAAGAACAAAGGACATTTCCCTGTCCCTCTGATTCCTGGCCCCAGGCAAGAATGTAGATTTTTAATTCTCAAAAAGAGTGGAGGAGGTTTTAAAGAGATAGCAAGAACACTTTTGTTAAAGGGTGCCCTTTGCATCCCAACTCAAGTTCCCTATTCCTGTGAATAAGCACTGATAGATTCCACGGGCGGCCCTGGAAACACCCAGCCTACACTAGCTCTGAGGCCAGTTGGGTGGAACCAGCTTAGGATGGCTTAAGGTAGGAATAGACTCGGGAAATTGGCCTTCATCTGCACAACACAGGAAGGCTGAGTTACTCAATGAATGCCTGGTAGCCCACCAGGCAGGTTTGGAGAGTGTGTTAAATGGAGGGCAAAATTTGGGAGGCCATATAAGTGTAAGTCTCATTAGGAACCAAAACCTGCTGGGACATTGGCACAGACTTCTCAACTAGATCCTTGTGATATCAAAGTTCTGAGGTTAGGCCAGGCGCGGTGGCTCACGCCAGTAATCCTAGCAGTCTGGGAGCCCGGCGGGTGGATCGCTCAAGGACAGGAGTTCAAAACCAGCCTGACGAGACCCTGTCTGTACTAAAAAAATAGAAAGAATTAACCAACTAAAAATATATATACAAATTAAAAAATTAGCCGGGCATGGTGGCGCATGCCTGTAATCCCAGCTACTTGGGAGGCTGAGGCAGAAGGATGCTGAGCCCAGGAGTTTGAGA